ATTCGATGAAAAGTCAAGGAGATACAGTGTTTAAAAGTCGGCAAAATTTACAAAGAAATGTATGGCTGTCGGCATGAGATCAAGGTTGACCTTGACTTGTTACAACCTCGCCAAACATTTATATGCAAAATTTAGTGTTTTTGAAGTGCCGTATCTCTTTGAATTTAAATCAGATTATTTTCAAAATTGGCAAATTTGCTGATTTTATGACGCTCTTTCCAGTGGTGTCAATGATTTACCATAACGACGTAATGTAAAATTTAGAATTATCCGCGAAGTGGACTATTGGTAGGACTGCGGACTATGAAGCAAGAGTTCAGTGGTTCAAACCCTGATGAAGGTAAGTGTTATTCATAAATTAAAAATATAGAAAATATCAATATTTCTGTGGGGTAGACATAGGGTAAGATAAAGTAGAAAATAGTAGAAGGTAGAAAATAAGATGATAGATAGAAAATGGGAGAAAATGAGATGAGAAATAGTTCTTTTAGTTCTTTTAAGAATGCCAAAGCAAAAAAAAAAGACCAGTACAAAAAGTCTTGTACTGGAACAAATTAGATTAAACTGGTTCAAAAATATATTGAACCTGAACTACAACATAAATGTTACAAACCTGTTTGTCACCTTACTGGTGACTGGCATTGCAACAGTGACCATCAATCCCAGACCTGATGCATCTAAATATGGTGATGTCCACGTTACATTGCTGATACTGATAGTATTGGAGGCCAGAAAACTGTAATAGTCCTGCATCTGGGATATAATATTCTCAGTTTCCACTAGTTTCTTCATGTAACCATTATTGTCACATGCCAGCTTTCCTGGGAATTCTTCACCACCTTTGTCATTGACCAGGTAGGAGAATATACGAGTCTGAAGAACAAACAGTGATTTAATACTTAACTTTTGTAGATTTGTGAAAAAATACATTGTAGCTGAGAAATGAACATCAATAACTACAAACCTTTGGCATCTTAAACTTATTAAGTTTGGCCACCTCACTCCACACATCRTCCCAGTTATATTTACACAACTGACCAGGAACATAACCACTTCTAGTATAATAACCAGTACCACATCTCACTGGATCACCATCATTATCCAGACCATCAGTGACAAATATGATAATACTCTGACAGCCAGTCTTTGCTCTGCCTTCTAGAAGAGTGAATGCTAWCTTAAAGGCTTTCCTGAAACAGGAAATGATAATTATCAAATGTTTGTGTGCTCAACTAAACTGAACGTGCAAACTCACTTAAGTTCACTAGTTCCGCCAGCTTTTAAGCTGTCAATTTTTTCGGCAAGATCTTTCTTGTGTGACGTTGATGCAGGAACAAGTCTGTCTTTTTGACAACTTAACACTTCAGTATCATACTTGTAGTATCTGAAAGACAAATAACAAGGAAGAGAGTTATCAAGCATGAAAGAACACATGTACAGTATGATGCACATAGCAAAACAAACATTGAAAATATTTTTTKGAAGTTGAAGTACAATTTTATGGATTGAGTGCATTCATTGTATGCCATTAAGAGTTACATGTAAGCAAACCTCTTAGGGTTTTATCAAGGTCTTTCAATAAAATAAGCCTTGRCTAAAAAATTGTTTGAGTATGATGTATACTTGAAAGAAAAACAATCAAGCAGAGGAAGCAGTTGAGATTTAGCATTTCTGCAGTTCAATGACAGAACCTTACTTTCCAACTTCATCCCAGTTACTCTCACGTCCGCAGATAACATTAACAAAGTCTTGCTTGGTCAAAGTGTTCAAAACAGTTTTTGCCACCTCTTTGGCCATGCGTATTCTTTTCCCCATCATGGAGTAGCTACAGTCAAGAACTATTACTATGTCTTTAGGCCCAGAGGTAGCACCAATATACCAAGGTCTCATCCGTGGGTCATAGTCAATGTGAAAACCAGCAAAATTGGTTGACCACTCACTGCTTGGATACTGCCGCAATACCCCTTCAACCGAACCAAAATTCTGCCATCTGAACACAATATTCATGAAAAAACTGATTAATRTATTTTGAAGACTTGATATAAATTTAGTAATTTGTAAAAATAACACAACACTTTTAAATTTCAAAGACATGTTTCAACTTTCATAAAGCCATCTTCAGTTTGAATGTGATTACATTTTACTTAAGAAATATAAAACGGTGCGCATGATCTAAACATGGTGGGAGTTCGAAAAACACGAGAGAAGCAAGCTTAGGAACTTGAGCGTAGTGAGTGTTTCTCTTGCTTCTTGAGTGTTTTTCAATAGAGACACAAGTGGCCGTTTTATATTTCTTTTATAAAATTTTTCGAGAGAAAAGCAAATTTTGCCGGTAAGCCGTGTCTCTGTCCTCTGATATAAACACGGTCATCAGCCAATCAGAGCGCGTGTTATACATAAAAAATTTTATAAAATCAGTTATATAGAGTGCAAGTCACATAAGCATGAAACAATTCTTAACAATGTAGTGCTAAATAAGATTTAGTTATCAACTAACTAAGAATTGAGAACAATGCTACAAAGGAATTTAAATAATTGGCATTGTGTTTATGCTTTGTTGAATTCTTAGTTATTTGATAACTAAATCTTATTTAGCAATACATATTAAGAATTGTTTCATGTTTATGTGACATACACTCTTAGTAGTTGGTAATAGATAATCTGATTAAATTACAACGGTCAAAAGTAAACTAAAACAAGAGATGAGATTACAAGTGGATAGTGGTATTATAGTGTTTTGACCTGAGTATTAAGTTCAGGTTTAAAATGATTGATAAAACTCTTTTTAATCTCATCTCTTGTTTTAGTTTACTTTTGACCATTGTAATTTAATCAGATTATCTATTACTACTATAAAACTGATTGTAAAATATAATCACATTCAAACTGAAGATGGCTTTATGAAAGTTGAAACATGTCTTTGAAATTTAAAAGTGTTGTGTTATTTTAATTTAAAAATTATTGCATCACTTGTGCTTTTACGCTCATATAAATTTAGGACTTGTAAGCTTATATTCTTAATATTATTCTTATAATTCTTGGGTTTCTATCTCCAGTGCCTTTATTTCAAGTAGTACAGCTAGTTCAAAACTTTATTTCTCTATGATTACATTTTTGTAATAAGGTGTATCTTGGAATTGTATACCTTAATTCTGGATCTTCTTTTAAGTTTTTCTTGAATATTTCATCCAATGCAGCAGACCAGAAGACAGTATCAATGACATTGTCAGCATTCCTTACAACTTGATCTGATATCTTTACAGCGCTCTGTGATTTGCTGACTCTTAGTTTGAATAGCCTAATCAATCAATSAATGAATGATAAATAAATAAATGAAAAAATGGAAGGATTGTAAAAAGACCATTGACTTACGGGTCAAATTCTAAATCAGGCAATGTCTTGATGATGTCTTTATCTGCATAGATATTTCTATCTAAATTCTTGAGATATTTCACTTCTGCTTTTTGCCGTAGAGATGCATTAGTGTAGAAGTGATCATGYACACGCTGGACTTCTTTAGCTAATTTCTGAATAAAAAWAGGACCAGCTTTGTTTAAATACATAATTTGTACAATAAATACATTAGACCAACTTTATGATGTTAATATTCTTTTATATATTACTATAATATTCCTGCACTTCATTCAGAATGTTGTGAGGGACACTGTATGATGACAGCCACTTTGTTCTAAAAAAGGAACAAAGCCACCAAATTCCACCAATATCTGAACAATATCAATTGTCACAGAAAAATAGAATCTATTTATTCTATTAATATTATCTCAATTTCTTTCTTAGTACCAATAATTTCACTGGTATCGTCAGTGCGTTTACTTTCATAAACCTCAAAAGCACTGCAATACTATATCTGTAGTATAATTATACCAAATGCATAAAATGTCATATGTCAAACTTTAGTTTGTTGTTCGACACATCCAAGGTCATGGGAATTAATCAATATTTAGTCTACTACTGCATTTCAAAAAGCTGTAATAATATAAATCACAAAACCTTTTGGGATCCATTTAGATTGAGTGAATCTTTTATATAAAGTTCAAAATTGAACTTTTAAGTTCAATTTAAAAATGAATTAGCTGTACAAAATCCAATTTCCTCTGTCCAACAGCAATTGAAACTTCCTTTTATTGACACAAGAATCTGAGAAAATTAACTTCTGTCAGAAATCCTGACACTTGATGGCAAACTTTGTTGTATATTTTTCTACAGCAACAGGCAGCACATGTGAAAGGTTTTAATAAATCTAGCTCTTCAATAAGATAAAGCAGATAACAAAATTGGATTAAAATTTGAGAAAAATGAAATAAAGAAATAAATAATTAAATTTATGAGAAAATGCAGCTATATTCAGGTGGCAATAGAAATCGATATCTGGTGTGTATAATTGGTAGCAGATGTTTTTTTTTTCTGTTAGTAGAGAACCTCTATAGTGAAAAACGAAACGTTTTTTTATTTATAATAAGACTTATAATAACATTAAATAATGAAAAAATAAACATAGTGTATGAATGAAAGAGAATGATTTCAAAACAACCCCAGCAATGAATATGTTAGGATATTTTTCTTGTTTCAATGGATAGTGAAATGCTCATGACGAAGAATTAAGATAAAATAAATTTGGCTACAGCAATTAAAGCTATTTTCAACCACTCCCACACCAACATACAAGATAACAAGCAACTCCAAAAATTCTATTAAGATTTTAGAGTTAAATGCTCACTTGCTTTATCTAAAGAGCCCCTGGCTGATTTTATTTGCTATATTCTTACCCTGGCTGCTTCTTCTTTCTTGACAAAATAATTTCCAAGTCTTGCCTTTACAGAATTGACAGTCTCAGACCCCTTCTTGCTTTCCACTCGATAAATTGCTTCGTCGTAGTGTCTTTGAAGCTCTTGAGTTTTCAAGCCTTCTTCACTCAGTTTTAATAAATATTCTTCAACTTTTTGAGACCATGATTTCACAACTGATTTGTCAAGAGGTACTGGTGTAATTGTGCATAAAGAACCACACAAAACAACAACAAAGACCCAACGTGGGACAGCCATGCCAAGAACGTTTGATTGATGACTCCAAAAGGTTAAAAGCAAATGCAGAATTCACTTGGTGACAGCTGAAGACACTCGAGCATGTATATWATTAACTACAGTTTTGTTCAAAGGGAAATGATTCAATCAGAGATTACGTACAACAAGCTGGGATTCGCTGTAGGACCGTGAGTGTACTACCAAGAACTWATTCCAAAACGACGATTGAATGYACAAGCTTATACCATTAAAACTAAATTGAAAGCTCCAATCATACACAAATACAATTATATTCCAGCATCGCTTCAAAGKCTTCTCGTTGTGAGAAGAAATCCMTGGAAATTGCTGTAGAGTGTGAAYGGGTACCAACGGCACTGCCAAAGATAATCGACCAACGTGCACAACAAAACTATGGACTTTCGAGAACTTCCCTAAAAAACGCCAAACCAAATCCACTTTCCGAATRTGATATGCACTTCTGTCAATATTGTTTTCCCTCAAATAGCAATAATCGTAAAACAACGGACTTTATTACTCTGCAAAGACTCCAACAAGACCTCAGTYTTGAACAAGTCAAGATGTCACGAGACGCCAGCCCGGGACATCTCTCTGCACAGAGGGGGAGGGGTACGGGTTGGATAGACTTAAATGAAAAAAGCAAGAGCATTTGAAAGAAATAGACTTCGAGTTTTAATTTCACCTAGCAATTTAAAATAGTACCTGATTTAGTTTGGATAAATATTTACTTACAGACTTAAATAAAAGGCATGAAATTTGAGCCTTCAAAACCAGGTCACAGATCAGCAGTAGTAACTTTATTGGGTGGATCCAAGGGGGTCGTCTGGTGGGACCTCCCCTCTCCCTTTTGGGTAATTCCCAATTTCTCTCCCTTTTGGGTAATTCCCTTTTTTTTTACACTGTATATGTTTTTTATTAAACATCATATTATAATAATTATTTATACAATTATTGTAATAAAATTAATCAAACATGTTTTACTTGTGCCACTAATGCTTTTTTCATAACTTTTAGAAATAGTATAAGTAATAAAGCCCACAAATGGAAGTGTTTCGTCTATTTTTTGGGCTATTATAAGTTCCAATTACTTTTTTTTGCTCATCACATTTGAACATTTTATTGAATATTCCAGAAGACAAGAATTTGAATCAAATGATTGCATGTTTACCTATGTTGAMAGGACTATGGAGTAAATTTTCCAAAAAGARCTGTGGCAAGTTAGGAAATGCAAGACACAAAAAACTTGACTTTACATTTCAATTTTAGCGTCAGTTTTTCTTGTTTTTTGTTTGGTACTTTTGTTGTTCGGCAAGTTGCCACTGCTTATGCAAGATGCATCAACTCCTAACTTGAACAGAGAARTAACAACAGTCATGAGTYGGTGTGTTTTATTAAAACTCTTTAAATACTGCAGCAGCATCTACTAGATACTTCTCTCTTATCCTGGAGGAAGGAGGGAAGAACGACCTTTGTATCAATGAGGGGAATAATTCTCATATCTGGTGACTTTTTGAATGTTTTAAAGGTTTTTGTCCCAAATTCAAAGCTGGTTTATTTTTAAGATAACATTAAGTGATGTTTACAACATGAGCGGCCGTGTTGTATGGGATTTCACAATCTCGAGCCGAAGTTTATGCAAATCAAGACAGTTTTGTATCAAATATTACAACACTCTTCACGGTTGTGATTTCTATTGTGCGTTTTCCTCATTAATTATTCATGAGTTTTACAAATGTTGATAAATGAGAATTTATGACATTTGAAGCAGGAGGTATTTGAAGTTGACCTTGTAGGGATATTTTTCAATATTATTTAAAGTGATCATCACTGTCCTAAATACCAAGSAGTCCCCCATCTCCCAAATTTTCTTTAATAATATTTTCATCTTTTGATAGTCATAAATACACTCTCACCATTTTGACAATAAAAACAAAAGTGCCTATGCTTTCTGGGACAAATCCATACATATCCTGTCTTATGTCGATATTTATATGATATTGACAATCTGGATTTCCTGGCATAATCACATCAGTAACAGATCTTGACCTTCAAAAATCATGTAAATTTGGACAAAACAGACAAATCATGAATTAAGTCACTATAACTAAAACACTATAAATTGCCTGAAAAAGATAGTCCAGTTGACAAAAATGCATCTTATTTGCATTTCAGTTCAAGTTGTCTTATTAAGCCTTTTAAGTAGTATCTGAGCATAGCTGCTGTTATGGCTCAAAATAGAAAGACCTCTTCCATATTCAGACCCACGATGAACTAATAGYTCAATGGAAGGCTCTACAACATCAAGAAGACTAACACCAGGTCCCCCCTGGACAACTGTAGAATGTACATTATGGAGCATGAGTATACAGCCATCTGAAACCTTCATGTTTAATAACAGCATTGCATGTTCACCATAAAGAAAAACATCAAATGTTGTAAACTGGCAGAGATTAGGGTCAAATGAAACTTCTGTGGAATAAGCATCATCATTATCACAGTTCTTAATGTCATACTGTGGATGAGTACCATCTGTAGCCTTAAGACAGACACAGTCAAGGTTGTTCTGCTTTGAAAGTCCTTTCACTTGACAAACAATGTCAAAGTACAAATCTGGTTGTACTTCTGACACAGTCAGGACTTTAGCTGGTTCAAAGAGACTATCCTGGGATATTCGCCATTCTTTCAGTGTTTTCACCATGTTTATATCAGAAATGCCAAAGGTGAAGGTTGWTGAAGAGAACCTTGCTGCATCTTGAGAAACAGGAAGCGCAACATCTCGATCGAAGACAATGCTGGAGAAACCTCTTGCTGATAAACCTTGGAATTTATCCTTGTACTTTTTGATGTTGACCCGGTGTAAACRTACTATGTCTCCAATTCTCCTTACTTGTGGGAGAAGAGCAGCATTTTTATTAAAGATGACACACTCTAACTGTTCATCTGTTGATGGGTCGGCAAGAACTACAACAGAGCACATGTCTGTACCTCGGGATTTCCATGGAGGCTTGAAATATTTCACAACTCCATARAGGTTAGTGGCAGTATTCAGTTGAAGATTTGACAGCTTGGTATAACCACTTGGGACTTGATATGAATCCCTAAATGCATTCACATTGATTGAATTCTGGGTAGTGCTTGTATTTGACGTATTCTGGGCATTACAGGTGCTCTCTGTGTGAGTATCATGCGGCTGACAATCAGCTACTTCTGCATAACATATAAAGACAAGCAAGTGTGCACAATAAATACAACAGATAATGAAAAAGGGAAGAAACGATGTATTATGAACAAATTTTAACACTATGTATCAAATATCAAAGTGGTGCAGTTTGAAGTTGCAAACTGAAAACAAATATCCAGTCATGAGTCCCTAGAAAACGAAGAGCGAAGAACGGAAGACCTTGAAAAACGAAGGCCCCTCTCAATTCTGGGGGGAAGTGGGGGCAAGCTCTAATAAAAAATGTTCCTTTCATAAAAATTATCAAACTCGTGTACATTTCTTTTGCTCAATACTATTTCTTTAGATTTAGGACTAAACYTGGGTTCGCGTAACTATATAGAATTTGATGATCAGTTCATATGAAAAATAGAGAAATAATCCAAGCGTATTACAGCATAAATGACAAATTATCAATATCTATTATCACAATGGCTGCATTCCTAAACCAAATGTCAATGAAATAAAATTAGTACTCAAAGTAATTAGATGCTGATGCTATCCATTATCTGATTCAAACTTATTTTACTGTCAATTAAAACAAGAAATAAACTGAATTGATAACTGTACCTGGCTTGAGTTTCTGCATCGTGTGAAACATCCCACTAGGTGTTGATTGTTGGCTGMTTGTTTGTGAATCTTCTTCACTTTTTTGGGTTGATTCATCAATGGAAACACCATTGGATAATTTGTCTTGCACTTTTGAGCAAAGTCGAGGACTTCTTCTGTTGGCTGGACAATCCTTTTTTGCTTCATGTTTGTTTTTGTTCATATCATGCCCTTCAGCATTACKTCTTAGGTTTTTAAGAGTACTTGGTGATTCAGTTCCCTGATTATGTCTACTTGTTAATTTGTGTGTGTTTGTTTGGAGCAAACCACTTGGCGTTTGYGGTTGGCTGCTGCTATTGCTTTCTTGGCTCATTTCAATGTCAGAACAAACAGCGTTGGATGATTGGTCTTGGACTTGATGAAGTAAGTTATCACTAGTATTATTCTTAAGTAATTTCCCATGTAGTCTAGGGCTTTTACGAGGACTTACTAGTTTAGCTGAGTTATCCATTTCATTTTTGTCAGAATTCAATCTCTTTCGTTTTGGACTTATTAATCTGCTTGGTGTTGCTGATTGGTTGCTTTCACTGCTTTCTTCATCAGGAAAAACACCATTTTGTGGTTTTACAATATTCTGGGACTTATCAGCAGACTTATCAGCAGTTTTTGATGTATTTGCTGAGTAACTTTTAAATACAATCTCATCATCACTTCTTTCACTAGRTGATGCTACATTAGGTAACTGCAAATGTGATCTTGGACTGCGGCGAAGACTTCCTTTGTTAGTTTGTTGTAGTGAGCCTTTGGCATTCCTTTGATCTGGACCACTTTTCTTTTTTGTCCGAGTTGTGCATTCAGATTCATCATCAGAGGTTTCAYCAGAAAAYACKACATGTGCATTTGATCTCTTCATTTTGATACTTTCAAGTACAACATTGCATATTTTAGGATTTTCTTTTGGTGTACTTGAGACTCCTTTAGGTCCAAAGAGCTTTCGTTTTGATTTTTTGCAAACAGGTGGGTATTTATCACTTTGCTCTTCCTCAGACAATGGACTTTGATTCTTTTCCTCTGAAATACCTTTTGCTTTTGGACATTCACTATGATTCCCTTTCATAGTATTCTGATTACTTGGTGAGCTGTGCTCGTTTAATTTCTCTTTATTTCTTAGAACCATTGGTGACTTTATAGATTTGTTACTCTGCTCAGTACCAGAAGCATTTGTRCTTTCACTRGTCAGTTCTTTRGCTGCCACACTTTTTGTGATCTTTCTAKACTTGCTTGTACTTTTGTTACTGCCTTTTGATTTATCATGGTTTTTCTTTACTATTTCYGATTGTTCTGYATTTGTGGATAGAGATTTGCTAACATGTTGACAGTTRGTACTCCTGGTCACTCTAGAAGTGTTGYTTGTAGGTAACAATCCACTTCTTGTAACTCTTGMAGGGACAAAATCCTCACTATCATTTTCAACATGTTTCTTWATGCTTTGTCCTCTACTAATTGATATTCTTTTGCCTTGCAAAATTGATGGCGAAAGCTGTTCTTTATTGGACTGATCACCAACTTCTTCTTSAGGGCTGTCTGYACTTTTATCATTTCCGATACCAACAGTATCAAGGCTTCCACCMACTATTTCAGCTTCTGTTTTATGCCCTTTTACAATTAATAAAGGACCTTTCTTTTTCAGCACCCATACTGATATRTCAGACAGTCTCTTGTCACCAGCAAGATGGTAAACTGGATTCGCCYTATTAACTCTTTCAACAAATGGTTGCTCCAAGACGACAACATCTCCTTTACTGATGGTAGAACATAATTCAGCTACTTCTCCTCGTGTGAAAAAAGAAAGTTCTGGATACTGAAATACATCAACATCATCATCACTGCTGTCATCAGCATGATCATTCTTGTCAATCAAAATCATTTTAAGTAGTTTTCCATAGAGGCAATGCTCAAAAACTGGAAATTTCTTGTAGACAACACCTGCAAGGTATCATTCAAAATATACCATTTAAAAACTAGAATGAATTTGAACTAGAAGTTGCATGTGAGTCCTCGCTTAACTTCTCAGCTTAGGTGAGAATGCAGTATAGTCATATTAGACTAAAATGTTCACGGAAATGCGCACTGAATGGACACAAAGTACAAATGAACGTTTTTGTACTTTGAACACATGACTCGAACCTCTGTCCCTTACCTCGAATATAACCGTTCAGACATCCYTGTTTGTTTACTTCTTTGAAAGTGAAAGATTTTGCATCMCTATTTTGCAAATTCACACTCGTGAAGCGACCTGATTTGGTTTTTATAAKCACAGACATAKCAAAACATGCACCGCAAAAACACCCGAGAGAAAAGGAAGTCAATTGGCGCGAAAAACGACACTCTTCGGCAATWCTTCGTAGCAAATCTACTTCCGRAAATACCCATATTTGGATTACATTGARTTTCATGCGTATTTTAGCTGATTACATAAAAATGACGTCTTCATGCCATAATAGGATAACATGCCCATATATATGAACATGATGTGACGTACACGCTCACGTGAATATTCAAATGACGTTTTTTACTAAAAATAGTCCCTCTTCGCTTCTTGCTGCCATATAAAAACTTCATTTTCCTAAACAGCTTCAATAATCTAAGGAGTTTTTATCAAGCAAAAGAGTTTTGTATTAATTCAAGTAATATCCATTACAAAATGTCGCTGTATCCATCGCTAGAAGACATGAAAGTCGACCAAATGGCCCAAGCACAGGTATTTTTGTCGCACTTTTCGGCTTGTTTGTTTCGACRATTTTTTTCCTCATTTTTGCACGCAGCTAGGTAACTTGTTTTGAAACCAAAAAGCCTATTTTAAAACATTTTCTTTATCAAAATGTCGCAAGCAGAACATTGAACTGTGCTATAATCTCTAATATTGGTAGAGCTGTTTCGAAACTGTGGATTTTTCCGAGCCYTTCCTGATCTGATTCTACAGTAGGAAATTCATGCTCTGTTCTTCTTTGGTATTTTATAGGCACATCAAATGCGAGCTCAACATCAAGCTGTTGGATACGCGGTAAGAACATAAACTCAAAATGTGACTTCACTGGACTTTCATGAGAATAAAAACCTGATTAAATGTTTTTGTAGTGTCGCAAACTCAAATGTCATGCGATGCTACTGGAATCAAATTATGTCAGTTTCCTAAAATAGAATGACAATTTCTTCTTTTTTGCTTTGTCAATACATATATTTATATATATTTTCATACTTATCATATAATTCTGAATAATTTGAACTTGAACTGATTGATTTTAAAATTTCACTTTATTATTAATTAGCATTTATGTTTACACATTAGCCTCAGCCTGCAATGCCTGGTCAGCCTGCAATGCCTGCACCAGGGCCATCCAGCAGTCTTTACCCTTCATTATCAGATTACATGGGACTTGATGTGTCAGAAGAAGCATTACGACAACATGTTCCTGACTATGTGAGTATAAATTGAGGTTTTCGTTGCATATTACCGATAAAATATCTACGACCACTACAAGTTTTTTTTGCAACAATAGTTGCGTATCCTTAATCTTAATCTTGAGTTCCTGTTATTACAGACTGGAGCTGTTGTTCCAAGTGGTGGYAATGCTGTTGTACCTCAAACTGGCAGTGGAGCGATTGCCCCAGTTAGTGGTTCAAATAATCTTGGTATACGAAGAGCAGAGATCAAGGGAGGAGTCCGTGAGGTTATTATTTGTAAAGACAATGATGGAAAATTGGGTCTTCGAGTTAGAGCAGTCAACAAGGGTGTATTTGTGGCATTTGTTCACAAYAACTCTCCAGCTTCCCTTGGTGGCCTAAGATTTGGTGATCAGATATTGCAAATTGATGGAGTAAACATGGCAGGCTATGATACTGATAAAGCAATGAAAGTACTCAAGAATGCATCACCTCAGAAAGTTGTGTTTGCAATCAGAGACAGGTGACTATTGTTGTAAATCACTATTTTCAAGCGCAATCATTTCAAGAAGTCAGTAAGGCAATGATAAAAAGCTAAAATGATTTGATGCAAATGTTAATACAGGCTATGTTAATAACCAAMATTRTTTTGTAGACCATTTGAGCGCACCATTGTACTACAGAAAGACAGCACTGGCCACGTTGGCTTTGTATTCAAAGATGGCAAGATTACCAAGATTGCAAAGGACACATCTGCTGCAAGGTAAGTCCCCAGATCATGAATGATTTAAGGAATAAAAGACGAAATTCYGTGTTTGATACTATGATCAAAACACGCRGGATGTAGGGAGAGCACGAGAGAAGYATAGGAAACCACGACACGTAGTGGAAGTAGCGGAGTGGTTTCCAGCTTTTCGAGTGCTCTCCCTACATCCCAAGTGTTTTGATCAGAGTATCAAACACGGAATTTCGTCTTTTATTTCTTTTCTAAAATTAAAAGAATTCTGACTTTGTGTTTTTTTTGACTGAGTTGTCAAGAATTTTGTCTATGTAGCTGTCTTCTATCTCTGCAAATCTTGAAGTAGCTTCTGCAGCTTCTGTAGCTTCTAAAACGTTTGATAGCTCTTCTTCTGGGATATCATCCCAGAAGACATCATAAATAGGCATTTCTTCGTTCATTGTTCTTGAAAATGAACGATAACAACAACAAATGCAAACAGCGGGAGAGTGTTTTGATACTGTAATCAAACATGGTTTTCGACCAATCACAGTGCGCGTAGTATCCTAAATATTTTAGAATTCTTGATCAACTCTTGTTGAATAATTGGTAAATTGACTGTTTTCTTTTTATAGAAATGGACTTTTGACAGAGCACCACCTTGTAGAAGTTAATGGGCAAAATGTTGTTGGGCTTAAGGTGAGATTATAGGTCTGGGGTTTCCTCACAAGTACTGTTTGTACTACCACAATTTTCCAGCTTGTTACTCTTCTTGAATATAGAATATTATTAAACCTTTATTGGACAGCTAAGAATGAAAAATGTCTATCTGATTGCTCTACAGGATTCTGAAATCAAAAAGATCCTAGAAGGCCATGATAGAACCATCACATTAACAATCATCCCTTCATTCATCTGTGAACACATTATGAAATGGTGAGTCCTTGATATATGCCAAATGGATCTGATACTTAGAGAATTGTTCTTATTTAACCTGAGGTTATTCATGAAGTTAAACTTTTCAATGCTTATCAGTTGTAAAGATATAAAGACAGCAAAGTCATTTGAC